GGGAGCACTATGGGGCTGATGGGGAGCACTATGGGGCTGAGGGACCTCTATGGACTATGGGGCTTCTTTGGCACATCTGGAAGGGAGTGACCTAAGCAGGGTGGGCAGTTTGAGCCAAGGGTGGTGGGCACTCCAACCTCCTGCTCCAAGAGCTTTGGCCTTCATGAGACTGAACAGCTCAGGACATTTCATGGCCCTGAGAGGAAACTTGGCCAGATTTGGCTGGATCTGTCTCACCACCCCTTCCCAGTGACCACCATCTCCACTGGGAACACGGACATGGCCAGAGACCCTGGACATGCACTTGGTCATCCCTCCATTTCCCTGGACCTCCAAAGGTGACCAACACGAGGCTGATTGGAGGAGGTGGTGCCAGGCAAGCTGGTTTGGCAGAGGATTTGGCAGAGTTTTTGTAAGACACCCCTGGCACTTTCCCATGGTCAGGGTGGGCTTTGGGAATGTCTCGTGTCTCTCCGTGGTGGGACAGCAGGGGAAACTCGGTGGGATGTGCCACCCCAGAACCTGCTGGGATGGTCTTCATCATCTGCAACACAGGGACCAAAGAGCCCAAAGGCTCCAAGGGCACTGGCATGGGAGATTCCAGCAGCCAGCCAGACCCTCCCCAAGATTTGGGGGAAGTGGGAAACAAGGAAGGATGAATTAAAACCAGAGGTCAACATTGCAATGCAAGACAGCTTTTATTGCAGTTGGAAGGGAGGAGGGAGCTGGGACAAGAGCAGGGCCCTGGCCAAGGGCAGCCCTGTCTCCTGGCAGCGGGCAGAGCTCCGAGGAGCCCCAGCCGGGCACAGGAGCAGGAGCCAGAGCGAGTGTCTGTCAGCAGGGCCAGCGAGGCTCGGGGGGGGCTCAGGCGGGGCAGCAGGAAGGCAGAGCTGGTTCCCAGGCAGGCACGAGGCGTCCAGGCTCTGGAGCCAGTGATGCTGAAGGGCTGTTTCTCCACAGAGGGTCGTGTCGGGATGTGCCAGTGGCTCTTCTGGAGCTCTCCTGGCTCCGTGGCCGGGCTCGGGCTGGGGCTTAGCAGGGCCCGCAGTTGCCATTCAGGTACCTGTGGCCACGGCGCCAGCCCCCGTACCCACAGCTGCCATAGCCCCCAAGGCCTCCATAGCCATAACCCCCATAGCCCCCAAGGCCTCCATAGCCCCAACCCCCATAACCCCCAAGGCCTCCATAGCCCCAGCCCCCATAACCATAACCCCCATAACCCCCGTAGCCTCCGTAGCCCCCACGGCCTCCAAAAGTGCCACCGTAGCCCCCTCCAACGCCGGGGGCTCCTGCTGAGCCAACCACGCTCTGCTGGGGGAAGGAGCTGAGGATGGGCCCGGGGAAGGTGACCACTGAGGCCGGGGGCTGGATCACCACCGTGGAGTCGGGGCACTGCCGCACGCAGGGCTCGTTGCACGTGTCAGCCAGAGGGGCCGGGGTGGCCACCCCACAGGAGGGGACACACAGGCTGCCACAGGACATGGTCACACAGACAAGGAGTTCTGGAAAACAGGGATTAGGCCAAGGTGTGAGGAAGGGGTTGCACAGAAGGAGGAAGGAGAGATCCCCAAGAGGTTTGCGAGAGCTGGACTTACCTGGTTGCTGAGGAGAGTCAAGTGGAGGGATGTGGATAGAGGTCTGCAAGGAGCTCAGCTCTTTTATACCTGTCCCGGGGTGCCCCAGGCATCATCCAGGGGGTGGGGGCCCAAACCCCAGGTAATTAGGAATTCAGGCTGACAACCTTCCTGACACAGATGATGTTATATGTCATCTCCTTATTGGGGACACTGATGTGCAAACGTGCCCTGGACAAGAAGCAGGTGATGGGAGGGACAGACTGTGGCACATCATTACATGAAAGACAAGGTGCTGCAGTAACTCACAGCCCCAATAAACCCTGATTTGTCCCTAATCCCACGTTTTGCTTACAGAGAAGAATTCCGGGCATCTCGCAGAAGCATTTGAAATCCTGTCACAGCCATCACGCCTGTCATTACCTCCCTTTTACAGGCTGGTAAACAGAGGCACCAGCAGGTTGGGCAAAGGAGAAGCCATTCCAAGCTCGGGGTGACTCCCAAAGACCCATCAGCTCCCACTGCCAGCACAAGCTGCTCATCTCATGGTCTTGGGGTCCCCCGACATCTCTCTAAGGTTCTGGAGACACTGGGATTTTAGGTCCATGTTTCTCTTGCTGGCCATGCAAAGAGTAGAGGAGACAGGTCTCACGTGTGGCAAAGCCCCAAGCACAGAGGGGCTGTGGAGAGCAGTGGGACAGAGCTCGGGAGAGCTGCGGGAGCGGGGACACAAGTGGAGGAGCAGAGGGGCAGCAAGAGGCCCAGGGGACTGTGAGCTCCTCAGCTCCTGGCTGTGGGCACAGTCCAGCCTGAGCCCTCTGTGAGGGGCTTGGATTGCTCAGCATGGAGGGCTGTGCCAGGAGATGTTGGCTGAGCAGCCTCAGAGAGCCAGGCTGCACGTGCCCGTGGTCCCGTGGGCACAGGCTGGCTGGGCACTGAGGGCTCACGTGCAGGGCTGGGCTGTGGCTCAGTGTGCTGTCCCTGGGCACTGCAATGTCCCACAGGATGCCCAGGATTGTTCTGTGTAAGCAAAGGGAGAGATTAGGGGCAAATCAGGGTTTATTGGGGCTTAAATTGCCTTGTCTTTCATGTGATGATGTGCCACGCTCTGTCCCTCCCATCATCTCCTTCCACTCCAGGACACATTTGCACACCAGTGTCCCCCATGAGGAGGCCTATAATTGTCTCCTATCACTATATTTATCATGAAGCTTGTCAGCTTGAATTCCTAATTACCTGAAGTTTTTGCCACCACTCCCTTTCCTGATGCCCCAGGCACCCTGGGACAGGTATAAAAGAGCTGAGCTCCTTGCAGACCTCTATCCGCATCCCTCCACTTGACTCTCCTCAGCAACCAGGTAAGTCCAGCTCTTGCAAACCTCTTGGGGACCTCTCCTTCCTCCTTCTGTGCAACCCCTTTCTCACACCTTGGCCTAATCCCTGTTTTCCAGAACTCCTTGTCTGTGTGACCATGTCCTGTGGCAGCCTGTGTGTCCCCTCCTGTGGGGTGGCCACCCCGGCCCCTCTGGCTGACACGTGCAACGAGCCCTGCGTGCGGCAGTGCCCCGACTCCACGGTGGTGATCCAGCCCCCGGCCTCAGTGGTCACCTTCCCCGGGCCCATCCTCAGCTCCTTCCCCCAGCAGAGCGTGGTTGGCTCAGCAGGAGCCCCCGGCGTTGGAGGGGGCTACGGTGGCA